AACACACGATCTTTGGATCATTTTTGCATAAGAATTAGAGAAGAGACAAGACACATATTATGAGCAAACATTTTGCACATTCTTCTAAATATTTCAAAGCATTTGAACCTTCATCCATATACTATTATAATCATTTTTGATATTATCTTATACTCACTAAGCAATATCTAACTATTAAAGGATTTCTTGCTTGTAGGTTATCAAATACTCAAAGCTTGATAGATAGGGAGGTTACTTAGCCTTCAAAATGTATTTGTATTGGTTGAATTCAATAGTAAATTGAACTCCTTAGCAAGCTGAAAGAGAGGACATAGGCATAAAGGGAAAAGATCGAAACCTCTATAATTCTTGTTTGCAATTCTCTCTATCATTTACTTTGTATTTTTTTTGCATTTATTTTTGATTAAATTTTTATCAAATTGTTATCATTTTAATATTTGATGTATTTCGTTTGAAAGTTTATTTTTCCAAGAAGATTTTTAAAAATTCAATTCAACCCCTCTTGGATTATTCATTATAATTGAGCTAACATATAAATTTTCATATGACAATTGTGTAAATGATCCTTACATTTGAAATCATTTGGTTACTTGCCATATTTTGATATTATCATTGACAATAAGATGGAACTTAAGTAGGATAGAGCATCGGTCGGTTTTGGTGATGAAGGAGGCTATAATTGACCAAAATCGACCAAGCCAAGAGAGAAACTGCCTAATCCTTAATTTTGAAGAAGGGTGACTGTTGTTTGCAGTTGGCTGTTGTAGAAATGAAGAAAGGTTATCGATTTTTTTAGGGTTTCAACTTACCAAGAGCTTTGAGGGGACTCGGGGGAGGGAAATGCATGGCAGGGGAGGGGGTGAAGGGGGTTAGGGTTGTAATTCCCCACCTTATTGAAAATAATATATACATTATTTGGTTATTTGATCAATGCTGGGGGGAAGGATTTTCCGTTGTCAATCAACCCAAGAAACCATCACAATCAATTGCCTTAACTAGCTCCTCAATCGGACTGTTTTCGGTTAAAAATCGTTGACACTTGCCGATTAGGTGGTTTCAACACCCATTGCTTACCCCTAAACTTAAGTATAGTATGAAACATATAGAGGTCAATAAATGATTAATAGAGGATTGATTGCCCTAGGTGATATAAAAGGGAATGTCTTATTTTGTCTTGATATGTAATAACTCAATGAAGTCTTTGACCAAGGAAAATAAAGATTCGAAAAAAAGAGTTTTTGAATCATATTAATAGAGTTTGTTACAAATATCAAGAGCTAAAAATGGTAAAGATAATATAAACTAAGTAAATAACGAGCGATGTTTTATGTCTTGCTGAGATATTAGATTGTTGAGAGAATATTAATTAAACGGTAAGTTGTACATGGAAAGATTAAGTCAAACTACTATGAATCTTCTTAATATTTAGATAGTCATAATGCATTGCTAAATATCAATTGTAACTTATAAATATAAATTAATCAACTTAGAATTAGTGATGAAATCAAAAGAGTTTGATTCATCTAATCCTATATATATTTTTGTGAAAGACTTATGAATTGTCATTGATAGACCTTGACAAAATCAGATAGTGGCTAACAAAAAAAAGGCCATTGCCAATACCCAAAAAATTGGAGGGAGCTTAGCGCGACCACCCTTTCTAGATAGGCAACAGCTCCAAAATTTGACCCTGTACAGAGTCAGATATACAATAATGCTATACACTTTGAGAATCACACATTCCAACATCTACTTACAGCATTCAAACCATTCTGTACTTACACAAGTTCACTTGGATTCTGGTTAGAGTCCAATAACATTACGTCGTTGTTAATTCCCAGCAAACTTTGAGACCTCTACACCCCATCTCTTGCTAGTGTGGAGTGCATCTCATCCTTTCTTCCTTGAATGTGATTCCTGCAACGTGGATAGTTGGGTCCAAAACCCGTTTGAAGTTCCCTGGAGATTGAGGTCACATGTCATTCCAATATCCAAGCTCCTCGATATGTTTATTCTCAACATGTTAAGAATTTAATCTGTCATACACATAATTGCATGGTGAGAAAGTAAAATGGAGAAACTAAGTTGGACTTAATTGCATGGGAGTTATGAACTTGAAGGATTTAAGTGAAACGCTCATTAAATCATTTAAGTAAAATGGAGATGATGCTGTTTCTCCCCTAGTGTGCTATGAGGGCCTTAACATTGGCACAAGCCTCTCCCCTTGTTCACTCTGCCTCATGTGGTCCTGTTACGGTTAATGCCACTGCTGTTTCTCTCTGAATTGCTACATCAACGGATTTGTTCTGCTCCCAGTTGCCCCAGCTTTGATTCTGCCCCATCGAACGTCTCCATGTCATTTAGACTTCATTCTCCTTGTTTTTTAAGTCTCTTGTTTTGCTGTTTTCTGCTGGTCTCTCATATAATGCTGCTTTCAAGCCATGACCCCTTGGCTTTTCTCAGAGCTCTCTGCCATGAGCGATAATTGCTTACTTTCATATATTTATCTTTTCTTATCAATATATATCTATCTCTTTGGCTGAGAAAAAAAAAATCATTGAGACAATTTTGCAACAACTTAAGAGTTAAGTTAACCCTAAATTGCTCACATAAATGTTATGCTTAAGGGTAACCTAATAACACAAGAAAAACAAGTGGCTAAGGCCAAAAATTGAAAGGTCAATGCAGAAAAGAAAAGAGTGAAAAACACAAGCTGAGAGTCATAGATAGCAATCGGCCGCTCATCTTTTTTTATATACTTGGAGGAACGAGGATTCGAATCTTATTCTTTAGAATATAAGGATCATATATCAATTAATGAATCAAATGTTCAAATGCAGTTATCCATCTTATTTAATAGTGAAATCGATTTCTCTCTTCATCCTCTTTGCTTTGAGATTTCGGGTTTTCCTTTTGGAAGAGTGTAAACTAATAGTCCCTTGACATTGCTATCATAAGAGGTTCGATCAGCACAAGCAACTCTTTCCTCCTTGGAGTTTTCCTCACAATCAATTCGTGTGACAACTCTTAAAGGCTGAACAAGTGGGCAGCTTGTGGTTTAGAACAAGCAAAATTTTGTGGGTTGGAGATTTTGGTTTCTTGATTTACTGACCTCTTGATTTCGACATCAAAGGTCCAAAAGTATACCATTTTTTGCCCCTTAATTATTGTTTTATATTGAACGAACCCAAAGGACGATCTTGATTGAAGAAAAAAGTTTTATATTTCCATCACTTAAACAATATGATGGCATGGCTTTTCCCATACAGAACATACTTTCCAACAGTTATGTAACTTTGAAGTATGGAGTCAGTGATTATGAAAAGTACTAAAGCCATCAGGTGTCATCCACTTTTTCTTTGTTTCCTTGTTAATTTTGTTTGACTCTTTTACCGCCATTCTTTTGTTTTTGCTTGAAGCACATTATGTGTATTTTGGGTACTGACAAAAGTCGACATATGAACTGAGATATTTAAGAGAGCTCATTCTGATATTTTAGAATGTGTTTTGGGAGCTTGGTTTTAAAATGCAATGACAATGAAGAATACTTTGTGGGTTCTATCTATAATTTCCGATAAAGTTAAAGTGGACTGCAAGACTATTGAGAATAAATGTATAAAGGGTTTTGAAATTGATTCAAATTATCAAATGCAGTGATTTTCATGTACTTTTAATTTTTCGATACTAAAGAATTACTTTACTTGATAGGCATAGATAAATAACCAAACTACATAAATATTTATGTATTTTGTAGCTTGATTTCACTGCATTGCATTTTGCTAAGCTAACATGAAGAAACACGTTCATTAGAACCTTTGTATGACTGACCGTATATATTCATTATTGCTGCTCCTCCTGTAGATGGTGATGAGTATTCGTGCACTATTACTGGGATCTCTACCTAGTCTATAACTTCTACTTCTAGAGCAATATATATATGTTTGCACTTGGATACCGGTCTAGGAAGTGCCACCTGCGGTCTTAGATCTTAGACCGTGAACAGACACCTAAGTTGTTGATACAAATTTCGTAGGGTGGCGGTGCCGGTCATGAAGCTCTCACGTTTTGGTGGAAGGAAGGAGTGATTCAAATGCAAGTTTTGAGTAGAATTTACCAACCAAGATAATTAGCCGACAAAGTTGAATGGTTAAAACTGTGGGGAGGTATCATGATCTAATATAAGCATTTGATATTAGGGTTAAACCTATCACGCTTTTAGCATACATATATAGTCCACGATGCGAGAGGTGTGTCTACCAAGTTCGCGCACATTAGTGTGTTTTGTTTCTTCTGGCAAAATCATTTGAAAGTGACCTTGGTGAACTTTTTGCCACAAGTCATTATGGTGATGCCAACCAACCCCACCCCTTCTTTCAAATACTTACAACTGAACCTTTTTTGGATACCCATTGGTAATTGCTCAAATGTTTCAGCCTGCGCAATTCAGCTCGTGGTTGCTTCCTACGTACCCCAATCAAAAGGTATTCGCTAACCAGACTTTGTTCACTTGAGCTAGCTAGCAATTTTTGACTTAATTAGGATGCTTATATAATCGTAGCTTCAACCTTTGTTGAAATTTGGCTCAAGGCGGCACGAAATCATCTTAATTAGCAGCTAATAACAGGATTTCGACTCGTATAATTTCCACAATTTTAAACCACCTTTTTAGCTATATATTGACCTTGGAGCCTTAAAGTCTCATCATATGTGTTGGTTTAATTTTGTGATAATAGATATGTCTAATTACATGTTGATTTGTTTGTTTATTTCATTGATTTCTTATAATAAGATGTAATAATTTTCTTCCAAGTTGTAACTTAAAAGAAAAACCAAATTTATTACTCTTTTTAATTTTCATAACTTAAACCAATTTAATTTCCTTTTTTCCTCTTCCTTCCATTCTTTTTCTTTGCTTTTCAGGACAAACAACGACAAGAAAAAATTGTGGATTTCCAACAACTTTTGCGGTTGAAAAGAAAAGGAAGATGTACAGGGGCAGGCAATAATAATTAAAGATTGATCAATAAAATAAAGACAAAGCAAAAGCAATAATAAGTAAAATCCCTATATAGATTAGATACCAGCATATAGTATCTATCCCTTACATTTCTTTTGTGTAAACTAATATGAACATTCCCTAAAATCATTTCCTTTTAAAAACTCTTAAAGTGGGTCATTAAGCCTGACTAACAAGCCGCCGAAGATGGCCTTGATTGGAGGGCCGATGTTCCAACTTTAGACGACAATGTGGTGGCAGTGGCGGTGGCGGCGGTCATTTTGGTGGGGCACTTGTCAAGGGCAGTGGTGGTGACGCGCTCGCACCGAGGGCACATTGTAAGGGTTGATGCTGGGAGAGGCTCACAGCTGTGAGGCGAAATCACGGTTGGTGGCCCTACTTTCATGGCCCTAAGCTCCTCCACCTCCCTTTGCAGCCTCCTGTTCTGTTCAGTTAGTGACCCAAACCATCTCTTCAGGTACTCACACTCCATCTCTGTCTGCTTCAACTTGCTCCTATACCATGTTATTGTTTATTTGATCAACATAAACTATATACATATATATGTATATCCGAATCTAAGTTGTATCAAAACTAAACTAAACTCTTATCTGGTTCTTTGTTTTATGATACGGTTTGTTCCTTAGCTTTGCAAGATATACAAATGAGAAACACAAACCACAGAATTTTGGAAGTTTCCCAATTCTGTACGATATGCATTAGCACAAAACAATTGGTACTAATTTCAGCAAGGTCAGGGAAGCCTTGTAATAACATTTTCTTTTTGTTCTTATTCCCTTTTTCAAGTCATTGGTTGATTCCAAGGGGGTGACTCAAATAAATTTCATGCTTACAAAAACATGCTAAACACTGACGTGCAAGGTCTTAACACTCTCATGTGGCGTGACCAACCTCGCTTTATAAGTTGAGAACTGATTTTGCATTTAAGTATCAAATTCATAAAGCTCTTTCTTAAATAAGTAAAATCTTTCTGTAATTATCTTTTCCTTCCTCGTCCTTTTTTTTCCCTTAACTGGTTCATGGAGAGTAATAAATTCAAACTTGGATTTTATTCATATCTAAACATGAGTGCATTTATTATCATATTAAATGCTAACCATTACATACTAGCTAGCCAATGATCTATAACCCAAAGAAACAGCAATTTCTAATACAGTCATAATGCTTTTAATCTGTTCTCACTCCTCATGCATTGACAAAAGAGAAAACAAGAACATGATTACAATTGCAAAAAATTAGTTTAGGTGTGTCCTTTCCCTTTATTGATTTCATTCAATAATGTAATACACGAATGTAATAATTCATAAATGCATGGCTAAGTCCAAAGAATGATGGGTCAAAGCAGCACTTTATTATAGAGGGTGATGATCTGACTAGCACACGAGGCCAGAAACAGACATGCAATCTCAATTGCTGCTATCATTGTTATATTGATGTTGTTAGACAAACCATCATTATTTTGATCCTCAAACCTCAGCTCATGAAATAGAACCACATCATTAATTCTTCATAAATCTGTTCAGCTACTTGTCGGTCATGTGTCCGTTTTCTGCAGCCTGTTATAGGTTTTGTTTATTGTTCGTGACTGTTTTTCTGTCTATGAAATATTAAGAAAAGGATTTAATAAAGTGTTCTATCTCTCCATATACCCTTTCTTTATATTCATCTAAAACCCACGCTAAGTTTTATAATGAGAAAATTATTTCGAGAGTCCGGGAGGGAAAATTATGAACTCTCTCTTTAATTGACATTAATGCACATAGTATTATATCATATGGAACCGCAACTTCATGTGGTAGCATATATATCAAATCCTATGAAGTATTTTCTGAATGATAAGTTCTACAAGAAAATGATGCCCGTAAAGCTAACAAATGGCAAGATATTTTTCCTTGCTTATTAGGTCATGCATACACGACCAAAACGAATAGATAGGAAAAAAAAGAAGAAAAAAACAAAGTAGTTTCCCTCTAGCCTGTTATTCCTTGTTCTTAAGGTGCCTCATCGCCCTGAACAACTGGTTTGATAGAATTTTTACAGTGCAAAACGTGGTATTTGACTTGCTTTTACTCTAAAATATTATTATGAATGACAGTGATATATCAACGTCCGAAGGCAACCGTTCTGTCTGGGAAATGACCAGAGAAGCCCACAAAAATGAATCAAGTTATGGTAGCATCATAAAATATTATATCCATGTAACTAAAACATAGAAATTAATTTGTTTTTTAAAAAAATCTATTGTTTCACTTTCTACTTTACATTATTAGTGTACGAAAAATATACGGGTAGAATCTGATTCAGATTATATACTTTGTGATATTCTGTCAACGTTTCGATATCTACTCAAAGCTACTTTTAATCCCAACAACCAACAAAATAATGAGAACCCAGAAAAATGAAAAGAAAAAATCTATGGAGAAAACTAGGAATTCTTTTAAATGAATATATATATATATATGTATATGTATATGTATATGTATAGATAGGGTAGGGTAGATTAAGTAGTACCTGGCCCTACGGTTCTGGAACCAAACTTCAACCTGCCTTGGCCTCAGCTTCAGTTGCATAGCCAATGCTTCTTTCTGCTTCTGCAAGCGCAAAACTCCAAAAGGCATTAAATAAAGAGATCATCTGATAAATTTATTGGATATTTTATGTGAAAAAAAAATGTTGGTGTTTGGTGTTAGTTAATTACATAGGTAGTAGTGGATGGGGGTTTTCAATTACATACAGGGTTTAGGGTATGGTTTTGTCTGAAACTTTCTTCAAGAAGGCGAGACTGTTCTTTTGTAAGACGAAGTTTTTTGCGAGGAGGGGCTCCATTGCAGCTTTCTTCTTCATCCTCCATGCTTGCTGTGATCCATTCATCTTCTGCTCCTCCCGATGGTACTTGGTTTATATCTAAATCTCTCACCGCACAACCCCCTTGATCACCTTCCGTGTAGTATTTTCATTCACAAAAACAAAAAGAAAGAAAAATATATCAAATTTGAATAAAAATCAATCAATATTCGTCAAGCATGAGGATGATCATATGAAAAAGGAAAACGAAAAGCAAAAAAAAAAAGAAGACCCTTTTGGAAACCATGCATGGAATCGGGGTATAGAAGATCAAAGGCTGAAACTTCTAAAACTTGGGATTTCAAAAAGGAAAAAAAAAGGTTTGATATATATCTTATTCAAATTAAGAAGCAATAAGGAAGAAGAAGGGTAGGAAAAAAAAAGTGAAGAGAAAGAGAGGGTGAAGGATGTTTCTGTTGCTTACCAGAAGAAGGAAGAGAAGGGGAAGAAGAGAAGCCGGGAACAGATATTGTCAACTCCAAGTTAGAAGAGCTGGTGGGTAAAACCGCCATGTAAGTTGCAGAAGCAGAAAGAAGCGAAAGATAACGATTGATTTTAAGGAGAGAAAAGGTAAAGTTTTACAAAAGATAAATAAGAAAAAAGGGAAACAAAAGGAG